CGACTGATGCCCCTGCAAGGGGGTGGGTGGGCACCGTCCCAGGCCCCCGTCACAATCCCTGAGGCAGGGGGACCAGGAACTGCCCATCCACCTCACAACCCCCAGAGGGAAGGGGCTTACTTACCCAGCTCATCCCGGGGCCAGGGAATAACCCACATAAACCCAAGTGTGTGCCAGAGCTGAGTGGTCCCAGGGACTCATGGACACCTGCCTTTGGGTGTCCACCGTGTGATTCTGGTGGAGCCCACCCCCTCCACTTGGATGGACACAGCGCTATGGACCACCACGGGCCTCCGAGGTCACTCACTGCCCACAGTCCCCCTGTGGCTACAGGACCCTTCTCCACAATCCCACTGTGATCTCCCGGGCTCCTGCCCCCGGGCCTTCCCTGCTGGAACTCCTCCAGGTCTCTCATACACCCCTCCACAGGGACTGGCTAAACGGAGGCTCCCCCGCGCCCCCCGCCCAGCAGATGGGCCACAACAGCCTCGGCAGTCGGCAATAGGGGTGGGATCACGTCCTGAGCCCCCAGCATGGCTCTCCCTCCTGCCCTCATTTCTGAGCTGAGAACATGGCGTGGAGCAGCCTATCCTGTGGCGACTGAGGTACTCTCCCCGCCCCTCCCCCTGAGGGAGGGTCACAGGCACCACTCATGTCTCCAGGGAGGCAGCAAACTCCGAGGGGCCCCCAGTGCCTGATCTGGGACCTTCTCAGGCAGGGCCAGGCACATCCTCCTGTCAGGCTGGGTTCCCGGTGGTGCCAGGGTCTGGTGCCCCAGCTCTGTCCCACTCCCAGGGTGGCCCTGGGTGGGTCACATCCCGCTAGCCTCGGTCTCCTCCCTTTTTCTCTGACAAGCACTGTGCCTGCACCCACAGGCCCTCCCAACACAGAGGCATCATGCTGCCCACATGTCACCACGCTGAGTGTCCATGGGACTGGGCTGAGGACCTCCACCTGAGCCTCCGGCCAGGGGGCGGTCACACCTGGGACCACTGACGGAGGCCTGGAGGAGTCCTGGACTGGGGAGCTGGGCGGCTGCCTCACAGGCTCGTGGGGAAAGCGCTGTGGGGGGACGGGGGGTGCCCCAGAGGAAGGAGGCTTGGGGGAAGGGGCGGGGAAAGCGAGGCATGAGGAGGTGGGAGATGCTGTCTGGGACTCTCACTGTGCCGGGAGTGGCAGTGAGGAGCTAGGGGCGGGGTCTGCCTCCCGTGTCTCCTTCAGAGCAGCCAGCAGCCACAATGGGTGGGCACCCTACAGTGGGCACCATGAACACCGCCACCGCGGCTGAGCCACTTTTGACTGTGGGGCCCTGTGGGAGGGGGCAGTGCCGCTCTGCAGGGGTTCCAAGGATGCAGACCTTGAAGAATCAGACAGCCTCATCTTTCTCCTGTGGAACCACTGGTGGCTTTGAACTGCTGACCTTTTGTAGAGCAGTTGTGATCACGCCCTTAGCAGACAAGCTCAACCGCGGACTTGGAGATAGGTGTTTCCCCTGCATTGTCCAAGAGCCCCCAAGGGCACCACTTCCATAGGAAGTGGGGCTGGGGACTCCAGCAGGCTAGAGGGGTTCTGTGGTGCTCACTCTGAAAGTGGAGCAAGGCCACAAGCCAAGGGGTGTGGGTGGACTCCAGAAGCTGGCCACTGCTTGGAACGTAGCCTCCAGAGGGAACCAGCCCCGCCCGCACCTGGCCTCTTGTCCAGCGGGGCTCTGCGGGTGGACATCGGCCTACAGACTGAGAGAATAACGATGGGCTGTTTGGAGCCCAAGGCCAGCGTGAATTCGCTCCGGCAGCGGCAGAGTGCTTCGCCACCATCTCTCTGAATGCACTCCCAGGAATGGATCGACCTAAAGCCCGGGCGGGGCTGGCAAGGCCCTGGCAGCTCGCTGGGAGGAGTCGGAAGCTCCCAAACTGGCCACAGGGCTTTAGGCCTCTTCAAATATGACTAGAGGCCCCAGGTGGTGCTGCCAGATACACATTGGACGCTAAAGGCAAGGCTGATGGTTCAAACCCCCTAGCTGCTCCTCGGGAGAAAGATGGGGCCGTCTGTTCCTGTACAGATCCACAGCCTCTGAGACCCCTTGTCAGGTCACCACGGGTTGGAATCAACTTGGCATCAGTGGTCCCTGGATGGGGCGAGTGGTTTGCAAGCTCGGCTGCTGACTGAAAGCTTGGAGGCTCAATCTACCCAGCGGGGCGCCCAAGAAAGGCCTGACAATCGACTTCCGAGAAAAGCCCGTCACTGGGCACCTGATGGAGGTCAGGTCCACTCTGACACATGGGGGTCACCTGGAGTGGACGGGCTGGCACGTGTGTGCATGTGGGGGACACACAGGCCGTGTCCTGTGGACAGCAGCTGCCCTGGGGTGGTGGGACGTGGGGGGTTGTGCACAGAGTCCTTTGTGCTTTGCAACACGGCCTGAGCCGCTGGCCCCTCTGCTCTGTAGCCAGGCTGCTGGGGGTTGGGGTGGGAGATGGCTCAGCTCCCACGCGGGAAAGCACCTGCCTGCGTGGACCCACACCACTGGGGCCCCTCGTGGTCCCAGCGGCAGAGTGTGGGTGCACAGAGCAGGCGGGCTCCAGGTGGGGAGGGGAGTGGAGTGGCTCAGATATGAGCGGAGCACCAGGCTTTGCTCTGGGGACCCTGGTCGTTGCTCCCATGGGGCCCGTGGCTGCTGATTCAAAGGCCTGCAGGTCTCGAAGGGATCTGTGACAGGCCCATGGGTGGCGCCAGTGATTTGTGCTTGGCTATGAACAGAAAGGCTGGTGGTATGAATGCGCCCAGCGGCATCATGGGAAAAAGGCCTGGCAGCCTTCTGAAAACTCAGCCATCACACGCACCCTCTGCGCCTGAGGGCGTCCGGGCTGCGGCTGACTATGGGGCAATGGGCTTTCCTGTGCCATCAGGGCACAGGCTGTTTCTGAAACAATCATGTCTCTCTTGGTTGGCCACCTCCAGGTGGAGCTCCTATCCCGAATCCAGAAGCTGGGACCCCAGCTTTGCCTCTCTGAGCTCAGTCAAAAATGTGGTACGGCCCGGGAGAGAATGGGATGGGAAGGTGGCGCCACCCTGGACAGGCGTGGTCCTCGGGGAGAGTGAGGAGATGGATGTGTGCCGTGAGCTGGCCTGGGGCCTCGCACTCACTTCACCCCGCACTCCCTCCTTTCCTGTCCATCCCAGACATGGCACCCCTGACTCGGGAGAGAATTGGCCTCTGGGGACTGGCTCAGAGCAGCACAGGGCTGAGTGGGGCCACCTCCCTCCCTCTGGGGACACAGCCTGGGAGCAGCCGCAGGTTGGCGGTGTGAGATGCTGTTCTTAGAGGTGGCCAGCCCAGGGAAGGAGGGTCTGTGCTTTGAGGGGGCACTTGAAGGGCCTTGGTGGCTGTCCTCAATCTACTCTGGGGCAAGTGTGTGGGAGCCCAGAGCAGGGAGGGGTCTCTGTCTGTGGCAGGGGAGGCTCTAAGAGGTGGGTGGGGCTTGATCCAAGAGGTGGGATGCAGGGAGCTCCTTGGGTCCTCTCCCAGAGAATCCTGGGTACTTTGCCCCCTCTGTCTTCCAGGCTTGGTGGGCTCCCTCCTCTGTCCCCGTTCCTGAACCCACTGCACGCACCGGTTCTGGGCCATCTGCTGCCTCCACCTCAGCTGGGCCCTCTCCTGCTACCCGTGCTTTGCCTGGGAGGGGGCGCCGGCCCAGAGCCCTGGCTGCCTAGGCTGGGCATGGGCACCGCCCACTCCAAGGCTCCCACCGCCCAGGCTCCAGCCACTTTTCCGGAAGTCCCAAGCTTGAGCTCCTCCCTCCCTGGAGGGTTGAGGGCACACCTGCTTGCTGAGACCCCAAAGCCTGTGCCCTGCTCTTTGCAGTCCTTCCCAGACCCACCCAGCTGCATCCACAGGTCAGGCCTGAGCAGAGGACTAGGGGTGTGTCTCTCTGACCTGTACACACACCTGGACAGCAGGTGGTGCTGTTGGCCTGGTGAGCACAGATTTGAGGCAGATGTGCCGCCTCCAATGTGCCTGGCACCCTGGCCCTGGGAGCCCCCGTGGCCCACGGGGCTGGTGACCCCCAGAGCTCTCCACTCTGACCTCCAGGGGCTCCTGGCTGCAACCTGGCTCTGCAGGGTTGTGTGGGCCCTCGGGCAGCCAGCACCCTGAAGGCTGCCTCAGTGTCCTCTTCTGAAGGGGAGGGCTGCACCTTCCCACCCTGCAGCTGCCCAAGTGGCTGCAGGAAGGTCTGAGGGCCCCGGAGGGTGGGAGCTGAGCTCAGGAGGTACTGAGAGCTGGCTTATTGCCCCAGGCCCCCAGGCGAAGGGTCGGCAGGGACATAATCACCGGCTGGGTCAGGCCACGCCATCAACCAGCCTGGTTCCTACTAGAATGAAAGGGACATCGAGGGTGGCGGACTGGTCGGCGGCGGGCCATCATGGCTGGGAGGTGGGGTCAGAAGGGGCTCTCGGTCCCTCTCTGTGTCCTTCACCTGGGCTTGCTAAATGACCAGCGCTGGCCCTCTCCTCTCTGCCGGCGATTAAAGGAGCAGGGTGGAGGACGCCATCTCTGAGACCTGCCCCGTCCCACCAGCTAGCAAGATGTCCTCGTTACAGAGTGCAGCCCGGGGCCCCTGCTCAGCCCTAGTGCCTGGGTTTGTGTCTGATCCCGGGAATCTAACTGCCAATGTGGGGCCAGGAGCTCTCTGGACGGGGGTGTTCACCAGGGCTCTGGGGTCTTTGACACATACACACACACACACACACACACACACACACACACACCCCAATGTGCTCGATTGGGGGGGGTAAGAACTCTCCCAGGGAAAAGAAAAGCGGGGGCACACCTGCAGCGGGCTACACCCCCACTCACACAGGACTTGAGTGAGCACGTGCAGGTGGGCACAGCACACGCCCCCCAGGCTCGCCCTCCGCCCCCGCACACTCCCGGCCCACACGCCCTCCTGCACGCGCGCACACGCAAGTGCAAGGACACACAGGAAGGGAGGAAGAGTTACCCATGAGCAGCTGGCGCTTCCCCCGCTTGTCCACATCAGCTAGTGACGTGGCATTGGACCGAGAGCGCTCAATTGCAGCCTCATGCTTCTCTAGAACACAAGTAAGGGACAAACACGGAGCCCGTGGTTAATGAGGCCCATTCCCGCCGCCGAGACAGCCAGCCTCCGGCGGCCCCGCCAGGGGACTCCTCCCGGAGACTCTGAATGGGGGGTGCTCGGGGCAGGAGGGGGAGGGGGGACACACAGATGGGACACAGAGGAGCAGGCTGAGGTCAGAGCGGCCAGGGTGCGTGCAGGCGCACGGTGGGGGACGGCGGGCTTCAGGCTGGAGAGGCGGGTGCGGGACAAGGAGCAGGCCGCGAGGTCCGGTGATGGCTGCGCCCGGGCAGCAGACACCCTGCCAGGAGGGTGTTTGTCAAACACTCATGCAAAATTAAGAACAAAACACACGGAGGGGGCACACAAGTCAAGGAACCGCGGCAGCAGACGCAGAGAGGTGGGGTGGGGATGTGGGCAGTGCTGGTTGCCTGCTTGTCTACGGGAGGCTCAGCTGGGGCTGCACGGGGGCTCAGGGTGTGATGGGCCGGCAGGAGGGTCATGTCACGGGGGCTGGGGCACAAAGGCACACCAAGAACCATCCCAGGGATGCAGGGGCAAGGGGCGGGGCACATGGCCAGTTGGCCTGGGACCCTTTGCTTGGGCAGATGTGTGGGGGACACTTGTTCCCCATGTGGATCAGGGCCAGATGCAGGGTCTGTCCTCTGGGCCTGGGGTGACACTGGGGCATGGCTGGGGCTCGGGACCCGACTTTAGAAAGCAGAACCCGCCTGGCAGGGACGGTCACATGCAGCAGACGTGAAAAATCCAAAAACGGGGACCCAGAGGGGTGAGTGGGGCGGACGAAGACAAGATGTGTTAGACAGAGGGCTGGCGGGTGTCTGGGGGTGACCGGGAGGGGATGAAGACGAGGGGTGGGGGTGGGGGTGGGGAGGCCTCCAGGCAGGACAGCGGAGGAGGGAGAGGCAGGAGGAGGAGGTTCTAGATGGGATCAGGCTGCAATAGAGACACTGGTCTGAGACCGGGTTTTGCTTTTAATTTTGTTGGTGGTTTGCTCGCTTTGGTTTGGCTTTTGGCTCCAGAAATCACGACCGAATGTCGGGCATCAGACAAGACAGGCAATCAGGTGCCATCACCAGAGAAGCGGGAGGGATGGGATAAAAATGAAATAATAATAATAAACAAAAACAAAACAAAAACCAAAAACAAATGGTCGTCTGAGAGAAGAGACCACACAGGGGAGGCAGGCCCCGGCAGGGGCGGCGGCGGCAGGTGGCGGCAGCAGCAGCAGCAGCAGCCCTGTGTCCCGGGGCGCGGGTGTGACAGGTCAGCCTCCCACCCCCGACCCTGCGCCTGTGCTCCTGCCCGCCACCCCCAGGGAGGCAGGGGACACGCAGGCCAGCTCTGGGTGTCTCGGGCCTGGCCACCACTGCTAGCCCCTCAACCCCTTTCCCGCCACACGAAGGTTCGTTAAGATAGAAGACCCTGGTCTACGGGACAGGCATTTGCCTCTGTGTTTTTAAGCTGCCATGCCCACACTGATGAGGGAAAAGGAGCTGACCCTGGCATCGATTTTGAAATCCCTCTTTTTTCCTTCACCCCAGTTTAACACACGATGACTGGTAGTTGAGTGGGGTAGTGATTGTGGCAGGAAAATTCACAACCATGCAAGCTTCGCCTTGCAGGTACGGATCAGGAGGGCGGGGACTGACCAGACTCAAGGGTCCCGGTCCCAGAGAGGTGGCGGGAGGTGGGGGTGCCCTGGAGAGAATGTGAGCCTGAGTTTGAAACACCCCCCTCCCCCACTCCTGAGCCACACATCACCTCCTTCCCTCGGCTGGGGGGCACTGGGCCTGCTGGGTGCTTTCCATCCAATTCAGGAAAAAAGCTGCCCCCTGGGGACCCCCTTGCTTGGGACGGGCTCACATGGAGGCCCGTGCTTGGGTAGGTCAGGCCCATGGAAACCCGAGTAGAGCTGCCTGGTCTATGTGCCTGGGTCTCCACAGAGCCCCTCTCCTGGGGGTCCCGCCACCACAACATTATGGCGGGGGGGGGGGGGCAAGGGGAGGAGTTCCTTCTCTTGTATTTTGGAGCCTTGGGTGTGGCGGGGTGTTGGCTGACTTTGAGGGCCACGTGGGGAGCGCGTGGAGGGCAGGGCGGGCTGACTCACCGATGCAGGTCCGGCCGTCTGTGTGCAGGGCGTACTTGTGGTGGCAGCCACACGTGGGGCCTGTGTCCGTGTCCTCACAGCTGTGCTGGCAGCCTCCGTTTCCATAGTTGCAGGTCACTAGTCGGGCCGAGGGGGGCGTACGGGTGTGAACAGAACAACAAGCTATTAGCGTGTGTCTGCTGGGGGCTCCTCGTCAAGGCCTCTCCAGGGGTTCTGGTGGATGGGCCAGAGCACATGTCCCTTTATGACAGCCTGTCTCAGTGGGCGCAGAGAGATCAGTGTGTGTGTGTGTGTGTGTGTGTGGTGGGGGCTGCTGAGTTGGGGACACGTCTCCTCTCTATTTGTGTGAGGTTTCCCTTCACAGGGCTGTGTGCAGGACGGCGAAGGTGACACTCACAGTCTACAGCCCGGTGGACCCCTCAAACTTTCTCCGCCTGATCCCAGGCCCGATCTCTTCCAGCACCAGGGCATGCACACACCCTTCAGCCCAAACCCCCAAATCATCACCCTGGACCCAGATCGGTGAGAAAGGGGGCCCCCCCGCTGAAAGCAGAAATGACAGACCGACCCAGGTTTATTCAGATGGACTTAGCGAACACCACGGTCCCTGGTTAGGGAGCAAATGTGCCCAAGGAGACTCAGCGGGCTGGACCTCTCCAGGGGGCCTCTCAGGACCAGCCTCCCATGCTCTGGGGGCTGGGGAGGGGCACCTCCTGTCCAGTGGTGGCCAGGTGTCCACTTGGGAACGGTAACCCTCTGTCCAGAATTCTGTGAACTTCAGAGGGGGCCAGGAGCCCTGGTGTTGTACTGGTTACACACCAGGCTGTGATCGGCAAGGTCAGTAGTTTGAAACCACCAGCCGCTCCGCTCCGTGGGGGGAAGACAGGGCTTTCTCCTTCTGCAAGCCATGTACAGTCTCAGAAACACAGAGGGGAACTTCCACCCTGCCCCATCAGGTCACCATGGGTTGGCATCGACTCGGTGGCGGTGAGAGTCGGGTCAGAGGGGCAGGCATTGGGCACCTGTTACCCATTGTACTGAGAAGGGGGACCCGGAGTGTGGCGAATGTGCCCCAGGAAGGTTCCAAACATCTCAGAGATGATGCTGCCCCTGCGGTTCCCTGGGACAACTCCTTGCACCCCAAGGACAGCAGGGCTCCTGGGGGTGCAGCCCCGAGTGACGGTGGGGCTGGTCAGTCTGATCACACGCAAATGCCACAGCAGGTGAGGCTGCTGTGACGAGGGTGGCTTCACGTCCGGTGACCCAGACCCTGGCCTTAGCAACCTGGGGCTCCGTCCAGAGAAGACCCCAACTTAATTTAGGGGTAATTCAGGGACTGGCCGCATGGCTTCAGGAGACCTAGGCTCCATCTCTGAGTAGGCTCACTGGCTGTGCAGTGATCCTCTCTCGTACCGAAGCAGCTCCTGTCTCTCAGGGAGCCTGGTCTCAAGGGCGGAGAGAGGCCTGAGACCAGGCCGCTGCCTTGGTGACCCTGCGGTGAGCCTGCTTCAGAGGGGCGCAGCAGAGGCCTCTGTCAGAGCCCGCCAGCTGCCCCCAGGCTGTGTCCTGCTTGGTGACCAGGAGGTGAGAGGCGGGCCTGCCTGAGGTGATGCAAGGGGCTGTGCTTGCAGGTCAGGGTCTCCACCAGGAGCCCGGCCTCTCCTGGACGCTGAGGGCCACGCTTACTGTGCTTCTACCCAGAGTCACGTGGGCCCTAAGAGAGACCCATGGGTGTTCATGTCGGGAGCCTTGAAGTGGGTCCTGGGCTCTGGACAGAGAACAGGCTCTGGGGAGAGCTCCTGAGGTCTGGTCAGCCCAGAGAGGCTGGTCCAGCTGGCCCTCCACCACCAGCCCAAGTTGAGGGTTGGGAGGTTGCAGGCTCCCCAGGTTCTATGAAAAGGGCCAAGCTGATGGGACATCACATGGAAGGAAGCCAAGCCAGCGGACTGGGCAGTGCAGTCCCTCCGGGAAGGGTCCAGTGGGCGTCACTGGCTTCTTGGCTCTGGAAGTCGTCCGCGGTGCAAAGCTCAGGCTTTAAGCCCCGTGGGCTCATGGGTGGGCCGGGCTGCGGCTGCTGTAAACCAGCACACATTGCGGCCAAGGCTGAGCTCCTGTGTGACCAGTCAGGGAGTGGGACACAGTCTTGGTGCTCAAAGCCCAGCTCATGTCCCCCTGATGCCACAAGAGCACTGTGGGCAGCTGACCCCAGCGCCGTGCCTGGCCACAGCTGATGCCAGTCCACACACCCGTGCCCGGGTCTCTCTCTGGAGGTGCCACGGGAGGCTGGGGAGCGGGCGTTGCTCTCTTCCGGTCTCCACAGTTAGAGTTGCCAGGTGGTGGAGGCTGCTCTGCAGTGACGGGGCCCGCCTGCTTGGCACCGGGGAAAGCAGGGTCTGACTGGCATTGCAGGGCTGGAGCTGGGCACCCCCTTTGGCCCTGCCTCGGAGGCAGCACCCATGGCTCCCACCTTCCGAGCCCCAGCGCTGCCCCACTGGGCCCCCCACTTTTGTGGGTCGGTCATTTGGCCCCATGGGGTGTCAGGAACAGCTGTCCAGAGCTCAGGTTACCTGGGCGGGTGAAGTATCGGCCCCTTGTGGGGGATGGTGGGAGCTCAAGGGTCTGGGTCTGGGCCTTGGGGACTTTACGAGGAGAGCAGGTTGGGGATGAGGTGGCTCGACATTCAAAGTAGGCTCCCACGACCAAGGGGCCGGCGGCCTTCTCCCCAGCAGCACGTGGCCCAGGTCGGCCGGCCTCCACGCTCCCCACATCAGCACCTCAGCAGACACTGAGCCGGGAGGGAACGGCGCTGTCCATCTTTCCACCTCCGAGCAGGGGTTTGGGGTGAAGTGTTCTCCAGGTGTCTTGCTGTCCAACAGGGAGCAGCCACCCCTTCCTGCCTCCCCATCTCTCAGCATCTCCCTCCCGCCCCCAGCTGTCAGTCGGTCAGAGGGACTAGTCACTAAAGAGCTGGTGGCTACAGGAAGGCTGGACTCCATGAGTGGAGGTGGGAAGAGGACCTGCCACCCCACCCTCCCAGCAGAGTTCACTCCTCCTGGGCCTCCTGGGCCCCTGCCAGGTACTGCCAGGCCCAGCCCTGGCCACACCCCGAGGGGGCTGGGCTGTGAGTTCCCATCTTTATCCCTGAAATGAGTGGGCACAGAGCCAAGAGCGTCCTTCTTTACACCCCCCGTTGCCAGCCCGAGAGCCCGGGGGCGGATACCCCTGTGCCCACGGGAGAGTGTGGGCTCACCAGGCCAGGAGTGCGGTGCAGAAAGCACTGGCCAGGGTCCTCACAGGCCCCACAGTGGGGGTTTCTCAGGGCGCTGTGCCGGGTGGGAAGACCTCCAGCCTGGGCTTCGGGGCCCCACCCCTTGGAGCCCTCCCGGCCTCAGGGAGCCTTCCCTGGCCAGCATCCAGCAGTGAACCTGCCCTCTCGAAGCAGTGGCAGGAGGCGCGAGGGGGCGAAGGGCCGTTTGCCGCCATCTACCTACGTGTGCAGTCTTTCTGGTTTGGGGCAAGGTCAAAGCCGGGCCTGCAGTCGCACGCCACCCCCCCTTTGGGCGTCTCCCGGCAGATGTGGGCACAGCCGTGTTCTTTGTTCATGCAGTTCATGCCCTCTGTGGAGAGACAGAGAGGGGCGGGGGTTGGGATGTAGAAGGGAGCTGGGGTCTCAGCCACACGCCATGCTCTTGGGCTGCTCCCCCACATGCCTGTCCAGCGGGGCCCTGCGTGGGAGACCAAGGACAGGAGGCCCGCGGGGCAGGGAGGGAAGGTCCCTCAGTGAGAGCTGAGTAAGTGACACCTGGGGACCCCCCGAGGAAAGCCCGGCCCTGTGGTGGATGTGGGCACAGTCTGGGCAGGGTGCCACTCTACCAGTGGGTGGGATCAGCCAGGGACTGCACCCTCCTGGTCGCCCCACACTCCAGGCTCCACGTAGCTCTCCCCTCTCCCAGCTTCCAGGCAGAAACCCTTCCCATCATGGTGGGCTCATGATGAGTTAGCGTAGCAGGGGGTGGTGATACTAACAACACAGTCTGGGGGTACCTCCCCTGTCCAGGGCTGCCACCCGTGCCCCAGAAGACCCGGGGCCATTCTGATGTCCCCTGCTCTAACAGTGAGGGCACTGGTCTGTGGGTTCTTTCAAGACAACGTTCAGTCCAGCAGCCCCAAGGGGGCAGGTGAGGTGGTTCCACACCTTGAAGTGATGGATGTGCCGGGCTTCTCAAAGGGTCTCCCAAGGCCCTGAGGAGACCCCCCACCATTGCTGAGAGAGGGGGGAAGTGAGTCTCACGAGCCCTTGGGGAGACCCCTCTCCTCAGAGTGGATAACATGAGCCCCTGGGGGGACTCGGGCAGTGGTCAGGGGTCTGTTGAGTGTCCTGGCCCTGCCCCAGTCTGCTCCCAGCTGTCCATCCACGCCCCTTCCCCACCCCCTTCCCCGAGCTCCTGACAGGTGGAGGGAGGCTGCAGATCATGTGCACGGCCTCTCCGGGAAGGCTGGCCCCCCATGAGCCAGTCTCACCCCTCCTCCACCCCCAGGCTCTCGGACCTCCATGTGGCACCAAATGCCAGGCAGCAGCTGCCATCCCATGCCCGGGGACCCGTGCAAACTCCCATGGTGAGCCCAGGGCTTGAACCGGGGCCTCTGAGGACAAACCCCTGTCCCCTCTCCCTGGAGACCCCTCCGTGTACGGCTGGCCGACAAGTCAGTTTTCCCATGAACTGCTGGGACGCCTGAGGGACACTGGGCTCAGCCCTTTGGCTTGCTCACCTCCCTCAGCAGCCTCACACCCAGGGCTCCCCCACCCCAGCAGACGGCATGTCCCCTCCCTGGCGGCCGGAGCAGCTCAGACCCCCGCCAGGTGACCCCAGCGGATGCTCTCCTGGCGATTTGTGAGATGCTTCCCAAGTTGGTGAGGCCAGGGGTCCAGGAAGAGGACGCAGGCCACCAGTCCACGGCGGGGCTAACAGCAGGGGAGAGGGCAAAGCCGCCTTTGCCAATGGGCCCTACCTCCCACCTCCCACCGGTGGCAGGTGGTGGGGGGCAGGGGGGAGCAAGGAAGCCTGACAGCTCACAGGACTGGCGCCTCAAGGGCATGCTGGCCTCTTGCCTAGCAATCCTACAGGGCCAATCCATGCTAATCATGGCCCCGGGGAACTAGGTCGGGCACCCATCTCCAAATCAAACCACCTTGGCAGCTATGGTAAAGATCAACAAATGGACACATAAAACAATCAGACAAAACAGGTCCCATCTGATCATATCACTCTTACTTAATCTGTCACCCTCATTTTCTCACTGTTCAAATGAACTGCTGGGGTTCCCCTAGGGTGTCCTCAACTCCTCCACCACCCACGGGGAAAAGCACATTGATGACACGGGCCTCCCACCAGGAGCTGCACACCCACAGCCGGGCACCCCCCTCCCCCAACACCAATACCTGCCTCTAATGTTCTGACCTTTAAAAATCACCCGGTTTGCTCCCCAGCCAGGGACCGCCTTTCTTTTGGAGAACCCAGATGTTAGTGAGGATCCCTGGAGGTGTGGTGGTGACATGCTGGGCCACTAACCACAAGGTCGGCAGTTTGAAACCTCCAGCCGCACTGTGGGAGAAAGACGAGGCTTTCTACTCTTGTAGGGTGGCCGTCTCGGAAACCCACAGGGGCAGTTCGTCCTGGCCTATCGGGTCGCTGTGAGTCAGCGTGGGCTCGATGGCAGAGCTTGCTTGGCTCGAGACTTCAGTGGTCCGAGGGAAAGGGGTGTGCGGGCAAAGGCGGAATAACAGGCTGGGCGGCGGGTGGGGGGGCTGTTTTGTAGCACTTGCCAATTCCCATGGTGTAAACGATTCTGGGATACGTGGTCACTGCACTAGCAAGAGCTAGTCAACATTCACCCGTTTCAGGAGGCAGCATATGAGCAAGAACCAATGGTGCTGAAGGAAGAAGTTCAAACTACACTGAAAGCATTAGCCAAAAATCAGGCCCCAGGAGTTGATGGAATGCCAACTGAAAAGTTTCAACAACCCGAAGAAGCACTAGAAGCACTCACCCGTCTATGCCAAGACATTTGGGAGACAGCTACTTTGTCAAATGACTGGAAGAGACCCATGTTTGTACCCAGTCCAAAGAAAGGTGACCCAATAAAATACCCAAATTTAGAGCAATAGCATTGATATCACCTGCAAGGAAAATATTGCTGAAGACCAGCCAACAACAGTTGCACAGTGTCGTGATGAGGACCTGCCAGAGGTTCAGGCCAGATTCAGCAGAGGACAGGGAACAGGGGACATCATTGCTGAGGTCAGATGGCTCTTGGCTGAAACCCTTCATTGTGCTCATGGGAAACCTGAACACGGATCACGAGCAGTTGTGCGAACAGAACAAGGAATCCAGCCTGGTTTAAACGCAGGACACGTGTGCGTCAGGGTTGTGTCCTCTCACCATCCTTAGTCGGTCTGGATGCCGAGCACAGAACCCGACTTCTTTCAGACGTTGGCTTACATGAAGAACGACGTGGCACCAGGATCGGAAGAAGGCTTAGCCTGTGACCTGTGATCTACAGGTGACCCCACCTTGCTTGCTGAAAGGGAGGGGGACCTGAAGCACTTGATGAACCCCGAAGGACTGCAGCCTTCAGTGTGGGTCACAACTCAGTGTAAAGCAAACCACAACCTGCACAACGAGACCCACAGGCAACATCACGAGACGCGCAGGAGACAGGGACGCGGTCAAGGATTTCATCTTGCTTGAATCCGGTCAATGCCCAGGGAAACAGTGGTTAAGAGGTCAAAGGACACATTGCATTGGGTCAATCCGCTGCATAAGATCTCTTCAAAGTGTTGATAAGCAAGGATGTGACTTTTATTCTTATATGAAAAGATCATTTTATTGGGGGCCCTTACAACTCTTGTAACAATCCATACATCAGTTGTGTCGGGCATGTTTGTACAACTGTTGGCATCCTTCTTTTCTAGACATTTACTTTCTATTGAGTCTTTGGTGTCAGCTCCTTCCCCCCTCTACCCTCGTGACCCCTTGAAAAATTATAAATTATTATTATTTTCACATAGCACCCTGACCACTGTCTCCCTTCCCCCGTGGTTTCTGTTGTTCGTCCCCCTGGAATGTGTGTGTGTGTGTGTGTGTGTCCATCATTGCGATCGGTTCCCCCTTCCTTCCCTCCTCTCCCAACTTGCTCCAACCCTTCTGGTATCACTATTCCCATAAAAGCCACATTCTTGTTTATCAACACTTTGAAGACATCTTATGCAGCAGATTGACCTAGCCCCGATCCTGGATTCGTGTGTCATGATGGGTACCTGTGCACACGCTCCGGTCTAACCCGGAGCGATAGGCGATACTGGGGTCGTGACAGTGGGACTGAGGAAGCCTCAAGGAACCAGAGGAGTATTGTGTGTTTAGGATGCGACTTTGAGGAGGGCTGAGGTGGGCCTGACCCATGCCGTGGTGTGTCCAGTGGCCTGGTATGCATGCGACAGCTGGACACTGACTAAGGAAGGCCACAGAAGAACCGATGCGCTTGAATGGTGGTGCTGGACAAGAAGCACCATGGACTTCCCAAAGGAACACGTGCCCTTGTCTGGAAAGAAGTACCGCCAGAAAGCTGCTCAGAGGCAAGCCTTTGTACAAGACTTTGTCTCTTGTGCTTTGAACTGTTGTCCGGAGAGCCAGGGCAGCCCAAAGGAAGAAGCCTCCTGACCAGATGGATTGACCCAAGAACACCTGTGAGGATGGCACAGGACTGGGCTGGGCTTCGTTCTTCTGTGCCCAGGGTCCCTATGAGTTGGAACCAACTTGGTGGGTGTAGTGGTTGAACCCCGGAAGGCCAGCCGTTCAAAACCACCAGCCGGTCTTTGGGGAGAAAGACTGGGCTTGCTGTTCCCAGGAAGAGCTACAGTCTCTGGAACCACAGAGCCCTCCAGGGTTGCTACAAGTCAGGACTGCCTGGATGGCGGTGAGTTGGGTCTTTAACAACACATCGCTCTGGACAAGCTCCCTGTGAGACGGACAGTACTGGTGAGCCGGGTCGAGTCAGCCCTGTGGACCCCTGTCTTAGAAGGGCCGTCATCAAATGTGGGGATGAGTCTGACCTTACTGGTTGTGCATCTTGGGGGAAATAACAGCCCTTCTCTGAGCCTCATCGATCCCAGCGAACGATGACCTGTCTTGCCATGCAGGTGGGTGCATTAACGGAGGCCCCAGGCAGGACAGTGCCAGGTGCCACTGCTTCGGTTCTGACTCACAGTGACTCTGTACACACCGCCTGGTCCCACGCCATCCTCACTGCCATGGTTCAGCCCCATGAGACAGCCACTGCGTCCCTCCATCTCATCTTGGTGGCCGCCTCTCCACGTTACCCAGCAGCATTCTTTCTGCTGGAACGGGGCTCTCCTGATGACACGCCCAAAGCACATCAGACGTAGTCTCACCACCCTCACCCCTAAGGCCCCTTCGACGTCTCTTTTAAGCCCCTTCCTCCAAGGCAGGTGTGTTGGGTCTTCTGGCAATCTGCGGCATTTTCAGGATTCTCCATCGGTGAATGCACCGATTCTTCTTTGGGCTTCCTGACTCCATGTCTTCTCATAGGCACAGGAGGA